ACCCCGGCCTGAAAGTCGCTGAAGGGCAGCTGCAGCCCAAGGTCTTTGAATGCAATCTCGTACATGGGGAAACTGTACTCGGGGTACACCGAGCAAATCCGAGCAGTGGAGGTCGGTCGCGTAACAACAAAATTCTTTTGAAAATCAGGCTGACCGTGGCTCGCCTCAAGGACAGCATATGGCTTTCGGTTACGCCGGCTATAGATCGAGGCGATTCCTCTAGGCTCGGCGCCCACCCAGTCCAACAGAGGGTCTTCGACAGTGTCGATCAAACTCACCGCCTCATCGGCACTCTGTTCCTCCCTTTCGGGGCGTCCAGAAGAGCATGGCTCGTCCGCCATGGTTACCTGCAGAGCACGGGAAACCAGTCAATTGGGCACGAAACCATACGCTCGACGTAACGGACCAGATGTAGTGCGCGACAAACCACGTCGCTCCACGCGCGACCATAAAGTAAGTTTGAAACAAAATAGCAGTCGCCTCCCCGACGTCCAGATAACTCGACGGGACCTTCTCCAAGCCGCCTAAGCAAACCGACAACGCAGTCACTCACGAATATGCCGACCCAAGGTATGAACATGGCGAGCAACATCATAAAGCCTACAGCCAGAACCATGAGCATACCGGGCACGATCATGAATCAGGCGCCCTGGATCATGAAGACCCCGGGCAGCACTGCATATTATAACCTAAACCATGTATCTACCGACCACGAGCATGTGTTTGCCGATCCTAAGCATGAATATGTCGAGCTAAACATGAATTTACCGGGCTAGTCCCATGCGCACAGCCTCTAAAAGCGTCTAAAACGATGAAAATCATGCATCACAACAGAAAAACAGAGAAGATAAGTCACTTACTTGGAATCAAGGAGTGGATTCGGCAACGGAGGAAAGAAATCTGTGACGGAGATCGCGGCGGTGCTATGAGAATCCGGAAGAACAACAGCAGCAGAAGCGCGAAGAGTAGTAACACGTTATGGGGCCCAAGGATCCTATTTATAGTGATGACGTGGAATACCAAACGTCACCTCGGGCAACCACAGAGTTCCTCTCCTCGATGCACGACTCCCAAGGCAATAATGACCCTATCCTCATAGGGTGGCGGCACAACTCCCAAAAGATACCTCGCGCGCTCGACAGACGCGCACCGATTGAGGAATCCCCGAGCACTCTCCGCGAGGAGCACCCCACGAGGAGCTGCGTCTTTGACCCGGGCATGAGGCCCCGAAACGGAAGCAACCTAAGATCAAGCCATGGCTCCTAACCCAAGGAACCACGGCTTGGGGGGGTCCTGTTCTGGACTGGGCCCGACTGGCCCAATAGCATTGATAAGGCCCTATCCAAACGGACTTGCTGAGGGCCATGCCGACCAAAGGGTCACAGTCGTGCCCGACGTGCTCCCTGAGACTACTTGCTCGACTTCCTGCTACCCAGCTCGACCTCCTGTTGCCCAGCTCGACCTCACCTCGAGCACCCCTCATAGGGAAGACTCAGTCCACTACACTCTCAACGAGACCCCGAAAAGACCGTGTCTCTGTCCGCCCGCACTTCACGCAGAACATCCAGGGAGGGGACCACGTGCGGGTCCCCACTACGCACGTAGAACCTGGCAGTTCCTCCATTGGGCCAAACCTGCCCGGCCCAATGAAGGAACCTTGGCCCAGCGCTGGGGGCTATAAATACCCTCTGTTTCCAGAAGGTCAGGTATTCATCATTCTACCCATACTTACTATTGCCTGCTCGTGCTCTTACTTACTTCAGCATCGGAGTGTCTTGCAGGTACCCCTCACCTCGTTCACAACTTTCAGCTCGGAGCCAGCCGTGACGGTCCAAGTCTGATCAGGTCAGATCAGTAAACAAGGATGAAGGATGGAAATCATTGTCAATTTATTGACTGGGTAGTGGTTGTCAAACACTCTTATTCAAGCTAATCAATTAGCGAATGCTCTAGCTAGACATAGTTACTCATTGAGAGAAATATTTTGTTTGTTTGAGGATTGTCTGAATGAGTTTAAACAATTGTTGATCGTTGGTGAGAAGGGGATTGTTACCCCTAGGATTGTTTTTGTGTACTTTTATTTTTCCTATGTGTTAACCCTCTTTGTAATAAAAATAAATAAATAAATGATAGTCACTTTACAACTAGATCAATTGTTGTTAATATTTATAAGGATGAATACTTAACTTAATAATTCAGAATAAACATTTATTCATTTCAAATAACACACAAATAAATATTTATTTAATTCAAATAGACTTAATTATCATTTTGGTTCTCCTATTTTACTTATTCAAGAAATTGGTCTTCCCATTTTAAATTTAAACAGTTTTGGTCCCTCTATTTTAAATTTAAACATTTTTGGCCCCCCTCTCATACTTTTGTACTTAAAACTAACGATATTTTTGGTTTTTAAACGACAAATTACTAGTAAAACATGACAAATCGTCATTTATAAAGCTATTATTGAACTTTACAGATAAAAACATAAGTTAAAAAATCCTGAATTTATTACTATTACAAATCATGAGAACTATATATCATTAATGTACATTAACCTAATAGTAAAGGCTTAGGATATAACGTAAAGGTCGTGGGTTAAATTTCTTCTAGAAATCAATTTTTTTATATATAACTTTGAAATGAGAATTGTTTATAAATAAAATAGAAATTTAAAATCAAAATCAATTTTGTTTTAAAAAATGAAATAAAAAATAAAATTTAACGTAACAGTCCAATCATGATTTAAAAGCATGAAAAAAAGCGATTAAAAAAAAAGCGGTTAAAAATAAATATTCATAGGAACTGATATAACCAATTAAATTTTGTAAAAGATTAAATTGAGTCTTTATTTTTGTGAAGATTTAATTTGAGTTATGTAGTTTTTGTGAGGGACCAAAATAAGTCTTCAGTAAAATTTATTAGATTTCACATGTGATACCTCATTTAAAAATAAATTTATGGTTAATATTAAATACAAAAATATAAAAACAAAAACAAAAAAAATTAAATTTAAAATTAATTAATTAATTTTATTAATTAGATAGAATTAGAAATTTATTAAATATACACTAATAATATAAAATGATTTTATACAATCGTTCAATAGAAAAATATTTCTTCATTATGTTAAGTACACGTCACTTATTAGTTAATAATGTATAAAATTATTTAGGGAAACAATGCCCCAGAAGTATTGTTTAAAAATTTTAAATTAAAAAGATATTGTATTGAATACGAATCTTTAAAAGAAAAACATACCTTTTATTATATCGAAAAATCAATTAATTTAGTTTTCAATACATTGAATACAAATATTTTCAAATAAAAAATAAAATTTATACTTTTAACAAGTGCCCTCATTAGAGACACTCTTTAATAAAAAAAAAAATTGCATTGATACAAATCTTTAAAAGAAAAACATATTTTTTATTATTCAGAAAAATTAATTATTTTAATTTTTAATGCATTAAATGTAAGTATTTTTAAACAATAACATATCTTTTTAAATTTTTTAACAAATATTATAGGATATTCGTTAACATTTTTTATTTTTTAATGAGATTAAAGATAATGTACTGACAGTATAAAATAATTTTAAACTATCATTTAATAAAAATTTATCAATCAATTATATCACACAATTAACTTAAAAGTATTTGAATAATAACAAAATATAAAATTGTGATTGGTTGACAATGTCTATACATATTCTTTTTTCTCATTTTTTTATACATTCCATTTCATTTAAAATTGGATCTCAAAATTATAATATAGTCAATTAAATAATTAACCATTTAAAAAAATATCTACACAGGTCAAATAGATCAATAAAAACAAAAAGTAAAACATAATGATATCAAACACGTGTATCATATTGCAGTTATATTTAATATTTTACATTAACTTATTCATACATTAAATATTACAAAAAAATCCAAAAAATCTCAAAAATATCCACCAACAAAAACAACAACTTCTGACACCACTTCTACCTTAACACACGGCGGAACAAACTCTGTCTCACTAGCCACCACACGAAATCAGATTCCCTGTTGTCACTTTTTCTCCGCATTCATGCATTCAACACGTTTTTGATCGTCAGATAAAAAATTAACGGTCCTGATTTTAACAAGTTTTTGATTTATTTTAAATCAAAATAGTGAATTTTAAATATAAACCGTCAGATTTTAATCCAACGGATGTTGGTTGGAGTAAATGCATAAATGCATGTAATATTGAATGCAGGGAAACATGATCCCACCATACTCTCTCTCTCTTTTGAAACAAATTAAAAAAAAAACTCAAAATCCGTTCCTTTTAATCCCACAATAATTAATTAATATAATAAAGTAACCGATTTTAACTTTTTGTTTTCTCTTTCAAATTCAAAACATATAATAATAACAAAAAAAGAGTTACTACACTTCTCTCTCTCTCTCTCTTCAAAAAATTCTTCAACTTTCATTAAAAAATATCAAAAGTTCAAAATCCAGAAGAAGAAAAAACACAGATATTCTGTGGGTGTATTATTTTTCTTACATTTTTCTATATAAAATAATTTCATTTTTTCATTATTTTTATTACCATTGATCCTTTTTAAAATTTTTTATAAATAAATTACCTCATACTTTCCAAAAAAAAATATAATTTATCCCTTATCCCTTATTTATATTTATGGTGTGATAATCAAAAATCTTTTCTTAAATGGAAAGTAGCAAAAAATTTCCTGAAGTCAAATGAGTAAAATAGTTTTATTTTGTCTTTTATATTAAATAAAGACGAGCAAATAAGATAGAATAAAAAACAAATATCCTTAATTTAATTTTAATTTTTTTCTTTTATATATTCTCTGTTTTTCTTCAATTTCTTCAATGAGAGAGAGTTGAGAGATTCTTAACAATATCCAAATATTAAAAGTTTTTAAACCCTTCATTTCTCATTCATTTGAGAAATTTAATTTCTCTGGGTTTTCTCGAGAAAATCTTTGTTCGTTGACAATGTCATCTTCTTCATCTTCTTCGTGGAGTTGCTTTGGAGATTCTGTGTCTAATCTGCGACGCTTTCTTCAATGTGTTACCCCTCTTGTTCCTTCACATACTCTACCTCAGGTATTTTATTAATACTTTTAATTATTTATTTATTCATTTTATTTATTTTCGAATTTTGATTTATTTATGGGATCAGTTTTTGAATGCTTCAGCTGCCATTGCCAATGTTTTCATTCTTCGTCTTTGTTTTGTCAATTCATGGAACAGTGTGCTGGTTTCTTTGACTGTTTTTTTCATCTAGGGACATTTTTGTAATTTAATATTTATTGTTTATTATTATTATTATTATTATTATTTTGCAATTATAATTATGGTATCCTGTTTTTGAAATTTTGAAAAGACTGTTTTTAAGACGTGAATGTGGCTTAATAAAAACACATAAAGTGATTCAATAAATTAACGTCAGCGATTAAAAGTAATAACTTTTGATTTTGTAAAAACTTTATTTTATCTGATTTTTTTAGATTGTTTCTTAAAGTTGTGCCTGTTACAGAAATTAATGAACTAAATAAAAAATTAGTTTTTAAACTTAATAGTATATTAATTCAAGTTCAAACCACTAGTTGTTTTCTTAAGTTGAAACAATAACGAAAATGAAGAAAAGTTTTTTTATTCAATGAAAAGATGGAGATGCAAATTTAAGTATGTGTGAAGAATTTTCCCTTACAAATTTTTAGAATTTATTTATAAAATAAGTTATGGCTTGAAAAGAGAAAATTATATTTTTGCCTATTTATTTTGATAATTTTTGACAAGGTATATTCAATTTTTCATTATTTAATTATACTTTAATAATGTTTCGGTCATGTTTATCTTCAAAACAGAAGTTACCTAATAATAGTTTTTTCAATATTTATAATCATAAATTATAAATTACTATAATAGTAGAAAAATATCACTATAGTTAATAAATATAAATATTTAATTTATATGTATTAACAATATAAAATTATTTTATACTATCATATAATAGAAAGTCAATAAACAATTTTATTATTAAAAAAATTTAAAATTAAAATATGATTTATTTTAATATAAAGTTATAATTAATTGATAATATAATTAATTTACACAGTCAACATATCACTATTTTTCTCTAAAAATAATTGATAAAAATATTATTTTATTTATTTGAACTAAAACCTTTTTCTTATTTTATTTTATTATTTTACTAAAATTATATCTTAAATTAGGAAATTGACACTTATAAGTTATTCTCTCAAACAAGTTATAAGTTGTCGTGAAGCTGATTTAGTATGAAATAAGTTTTCTTTTTATATTTTAATTTGAGTTATCAATAAATGTTTAATAAATAATAATTCATTAAATCCTTAGTGGATAACGTTGCATTATCATCCCCCATAAAATACTATTATATGCTAATCATAAAAAAGTTAATACCATATATGATAACGCCTAATAGTATACTAGCATTAGTATATGATTATACATCATTGTCAATGGTTTGACAAGTGATTTCATTAATAAATCATTTACTTACACTTTTATTAGATAGTAGTATTATTTATTCTTTTATTAGTATACGATTATACAGCTTTGTCTTTTAAATTATTATATTATATTATAGTATTATGTATAATGCACATAAACAAATCTATGGTCGACACAAAAGCTATCTTGTTTTGAAAATGACATTTTTTTAGTATTATATTATTAAATTATTCTATTATTTCTTAATTTTTGTACACGTTTTAAAATGAAAAACGTGTCATTAACATATATATATATATATATATATATATATATATATATATATATATATATATATATATATATATATATATATATAAATTTTGATTTTTTATATTAATGACACGTTTTTCATTTTAATTCCATAATTTTTTTATTTAACCAAAACACGATTCCTTATAATAATGGAAAAAAAAATCAAAAAAGTCTTCATAATTTATTGCTTTGAAAAAAAATCTCTTAGACTTTTGTTTTGTTAGGGCAAAAATCAATTTTATCATCCTAGAGTGATTTTAATTGGATACATATGTTATTTGATATCATAGAAAACAAACTACTCTTTTCTAATTGACAATTGGATTAAGACTTAAAGAGGACATAAGCAAAACTTTATATAATATTCCAAAAAAAATAATTAAAAGAATCAAAATTGATAATATCTATAGATTTCCCCATGTGTATGTAGTGTGCCAAAAAAAAAAAAGTCATTATCTATCAAAAATTATATGGCATTCGTATTTTCTTGCACATGCTTTTGGGTCCTGTGAAATTTTTTATGGTATTAGTATTTTTAGTAGTTTTTTTTTTTTTTTTGATAAGTCTATTGAAAGAGATATTTCTTATAGAACTTTACATTTTCAAATTCTTGTTTGAAGTTTTTTTCTTTTCTTCTTTCTAACTAATGTTAACTTACACATTGCAATGTTAGTGTTGTTACGTAGCTTAATCAATCTCTTTCATTTATGAGAATTACTTAATGATTTAAAATATTTTTTGGATTAGTCAAATTGTTTTGGGTGCGAATCTTAATTTAAATAAATATATTTATTTCAAAATTCTTAGAATAAATTAATCGTCTATTCAGTAATTTTTATCCAGAATTGTAAAAGGGGAAAATGAAGGCATATGAAAACAAGGTTTTAGAGAGGCTATGAGCATTGTTTCTTAGTTGTTATGCAATTTTTTTAGAAATGGATGTACATAGATAGTAATAGAAACCATGATAGAAAATAGAGTTAGATAGTTTGACATGGGTATGTAGATTTTGTAGTAAGGATAACAAATTAGATGGAAGAAGAGTTGGAAAAATCATAAGAAAAACTTGTGGATTGAATCATGCTTCTGGAGGGTTTGTTATCTTGATTTTCTTTGCTTTTTTCATGTCATTTTTCAGAGTTGCTCTAATGATCTAAACGGACAATGGAAACCCCTTGGTAAAGAGACCAGTGAATGCTTCACTTTGAAAGATCTTTGGGACCGATTTTATGAATGGAGTGCATATGGTGCTGGTACACCTATGATATTGGAGGATGGCGAAACCGTGGTTCAGTACTATGTTCCATATTTATCTGCTATCCAAATCTACACAAACAAATCTGGTGCAGCTTCTCGGTATGATCCTTTCGCATCTTTATATTCTAATTGTGTTGCGTAATTTGGTACACTCGTCAAAAACTTATCAGTCAAGTTTCCCTATTATAGGAACCCGAGAGAGGATAGTGATGGAGTTGAATTCGAAAGTGATTCGTCCAGCGATGATAGTGGAAGTGATAACTTGTCTCGATCGTTAAGTAACGATTCAAGCAAATCTTGGGATGCCATTTCTGAAGAATCAAGCTCTGACCAAGAAGGGTCCTGTCAAACTAAGGATAAGCTTGGCAACCTTTACTTAAGCTATACTGAGATGTCTTCGCCTTATCATAGAGTTCCTCTTACGTTGAAGGTAGTCTTTTTAATGTTAATTCTCACTCTTTAATTTTATGCACCAGCACCGATTAATGGATTTGTATATTGACACTATACGATTTTTGTTATTGTTTCTTGTTTTAGATACCTGAGTTAGCGAAAACCTATCCGGGGCTGATGACTTTCAAGAGCGTTGATCTTTCTCCTGCAAGTTGGATGGCTGTTTCATGGTTAATATAATTTGTTAATTTCTGCATCATGTTTGTTATAGTTGCTATAGTTTCTGATCCTTTGTTGATGATTAGGTACCCGATTTATACCGTCCCTAGTAGGAAAAATGACAAGGACATGGAAGCATGCTTCCTCACTTACCATACATTGTCATCATCTTTCCAAGGTATTTTTGAGTTGTGGTATTCCAATGAATATCATCTTTTCATTAGTAGTGATCGTACCATATTGAAAAATGTTGTAAGATTCACACGAATTTCAGAGTATTGAAAAGAGAGTGTCTAATATTGTGTGACCGACACTCTTCATAATATTTTTAATATAATATGATATGTATTTTTGCATAGATCATTAAAAATTAAGATCAGATACATCAATTGTTAAGATATTTTTAATTTATATTTCGTTCTAGATGGAATATACTCTAAGATCTTTCATGTGACTTAGCTCGAATATTTTGTGGTGTAAAGCTTCATGTTAGTTCTTGTGTGTATATGCAGATTGTGCTATGGAGAATGACGGTAAAGATCTATGTTGTTCAAGTGGCTGGGAAAATATTGTAGGACATCATGATTCCAAGAAAAAGAGCAAAACCTCAATTTCTCTACCTCCATTTGGGTTAGCCACTTACAAAATGCAGAGTGATCTTTGGCTAAACTCTAATCCATATGATTATGAGAGTATATCATATCTTTATAGCGCCGCAGAATCATGGTTGAAACAACTCAACGTCGATCACCATGACTTCAACTTCTTTGCATCAAACTCTATCTTGTAAAGCCGTTTATGCTTACCTGACTTTCCTTTGATTTAGCTTTGAAACTCTAATGTCGCCCGACACAAAGTAAACTGGCTCACTTGGTGAAATTCTGGAAAATAATTCAGAACGTTTGGAGTTATATATGTCAAAAGGGTATATAACTTCTATGCTAAGTAAAGTTTTGTGAATTGAGGCTGAGTTTTCTTACCTATCCTTTTTTTTATATAAGGTATTGTTCTTGATACAAGATCAGAGCTTGTTATAAGTAGCTGAACTATTATATGTTATGTACTATAATAATTTTAATAATTGGGCATGGTTATAGTTTTGTATATTCTTCTCCTTGTCTTTCAACTTCAGCATAGTCAAGTGAATGTGTTAGGAATAAACAACTAAATTAAACAACTTTTATATCAGATTTTAAATGAGAGATCAAACAAAAATAAAATGAATATTAATTCCAATGGGAGATCAAATTAATAAATGTTATGCAATAGAAAGAATAAAGATAAAGTTTAAAACATAGTAACAACAAAAAATGTGGAATTCCTTTTTAGAATTATTTTTGATCAAAATATCTTTTGGTTTTTTAAAATTATTGAATTTTAGAATTCGAAAATGGTTGAATACATCACAAATAAAATGAATACAAACACTTTATTAAATTACATGAAATTCAACATGTTACATATTAAACACCAATAATAAATTACTTTAAATAATTAAAATATCAATTAAACACAAATAAGATCATACATTAAACAAATTAGTTACTTTTTTATTGTGCTCAACTATGAACGCCACAATTTTATCAAATATCCTAGGATAAATTAAGCTTGATCATATAATATGAATAACATTAAACAAAGTATATATATATATATATATATATATATATATATATATATATATATATATATATATATATATATATATATATATATATATATATATATATATATATATATATATATATATATATATATATATATATATATATATATATATATATATATATATATATATATATATATATATATATATATATATATATATATATATATATATATATATATATATATATATATATATATATATATATATATATATATATATATATATATATATATATATATATATATATATATATCGAACATAGATATCACATCATTATTGTTTTGAAGTTACACGTTGGTAAACCTAAAACGTCTATTGTCAACTAACAAACAATGATACTCAACACTGATCATCATTCTTATTTCGTGGTGGTCGAGACAACAATTTATTTGGTCCAACTGACTCTTCAGATCATACAGTGCAACATCAACATCAATCTTGAACAAATAGGGAGGAGTCCTATTGTTGTAGTAAATTGTAGTTAGGTTATAGTTCCTTCTGTCTTAGTATAAGTAAAAAAAGTTCATCATTTTTTTATATGAACTGCAAGTGAATCAAACACATCATTTTATAGAAGCTCTTGTGCATTCTAGTCTATATAAATTATTGATGTGATCTATACCACAAAATATAAATAAATTTTTTGACATGTTTTAGATTATAGAATTCGAACCATGCAAACAAAAAAAACCTTAGCATGGGTTCGGATTATAGAATTTGAATTGAAATGACACCTCCCCACATGGTTTAAGATTATAGAATCGTAACCATACAAAATAAAATCTAAAGAATAACTAAGCGGTCCTAAAAAATGCATCACATTGTGTCATACGGAGACTCATACCCCTCCTCTACAACGTCTTTATTTGTAAGACAGACTTGACTTCCATCAAAATTTATTGAACATAGACGTGGACAAAATTTATCTCTTATGTAATCCCTCTAATTCTTTGTCTCCTTTGCTAGAGCATTCTCCTCAACTGATATAGGTGTTTGTGCTTCTGGTGTGGGAATCATGTAGGCAGAACAAGGATGACGAAATGTTTTAGAATATATTGCATGTACCCAAACTGGTGTAGAACTTGCTCAAGTAGGTATTATAACACCCTGATTTTTTTATTAATTATTTTATTATTTAATTTCCATGTTAGTTATTATTTGGTTTGATAATAACTTAGATATTTGATTTTGTGTGATTATGTGAATAATTAATTTAATTGGAATAAGTGTGTATTATATGTTATTGGATTATTGAGTGTGAGAATAGCAAAATACACATTTGGATCTTATGTCTCATTAGAGTGGGTGAGTGGAGTTAAGCCCATTTAGAGTTAGTAAGAGTTGAACAAAATAAGGAAAATATAGAATTAGAAAGAGAAAGTGAAGAAAACAAGAGAAGAGAAGAAAGAGAAAAAGAGGAGAAAAGAGAGAAAAGGAGAAGCGAAGAGGATAAAACCCTAGAGTATCTACATCTATGATAAGGGTGGATATTCTTTGATTTATGAGTGTATGTAATAGTATGTGATGGGTAGTAACATGAAATTAGGAATTTGTTCTTCAATTTCTAGATTTTGACATGTTAGAGTTTGAATGAGGAATCATGAAATTGATGTTGAAAATCATGTTTTGATATTTGTATTTGATGCTATATGTTAGATATAGGTTATAATATATTTAATTGGTGAAATATATGTGTTTGAATGAGATTTGGATGGACAGATTCGTAGTAAGGCAGAAGTTGTCTGTAACAGATTTTTCTGCATTTCGCAGAGGACGCTTAGCGCGCGTAGGGCCGCTTAGTGCAACCTGGAATGCAAAACTTATTATTTTCTGAAATTGTTCTGGATCATGGATGTATATGTTTTATTATGAATTGTATGAATTTTGGGGAATTTAATTATGTGTTTTGGATTAGTTTTGATGCACTTTTAGATGGAAATATGATATTTGATTTTATGTATGTAATTGTTGGGAATTGATGTTGATTGAAGATAGCATGGTTTGGACTTGTTTGATACATATTATAATAATGTGTTGAGATGATTAATGTTATGGGAATGAATTGTATGTGATTAATAACATGAAATATGTATGTTGTACAATTTGGTGAAGATAATTCAAATATGTTGAATTATGTGAAATATGCTTGTATGATTAAGATATGGAGATGGTCTTAATTGCATATTTATGTTGAGATTGCACATGTATAATTTGCGTCAAGAGTCAATGTTTGGTAATTCCGTGGAAATTATTGACTTGTCCTAAACCTGGAGATCAGGGTTTGAAAGCTTAGAGAACAAGATTTTTGGTGGCTATCTGTCTTGGAGATATGGATTCGGTAGGACCGGTAAGGATAACAGTCGGCACCACATGCATATTGCATTGATTTGCATTGGAGTCACATGTATCGATGTGAAATATTGAATTGGTGTAAAATATGTGATATTAGTGTGAATGTTACATTTGTGGTATTTGTGATTGATTTTATCTTTGAATCTTGAATCATTGAGAAATGTTGCATATGTAATCATGTTAATTGTGTTGAGAATGTTGAATACATGATTATGTGAAGTATGATGAATTCAATTAATGTATGTTTGTTATGAATTACTTATTATTATATATATTTCCATAATGATATGAATTCTCACCCTTATGTTGAAATGATGTTACGATATCGCTAAAGTACCGAGGATAGCGATGGTGCTCCTAGCGAGGATTAGTCGGAGGAGCTAGTTCTTTATTTACCTTTATTTAGGTAGTGAGTCATGCTCTAGTCATGTAACACAGGGAACATTTTAATTTATGTTATATTATTATATGGGTTAAATAAGTTTTTGGTCCCTCTAAACATTTCAAACTTTATTTTTAGTCCCTCAAATATTTTTCTTCAAGAATTGGTTCCTTCAAAAAAATCCGTCTGAATAATTGGTCCCCAACATCAAATTCCACTAATGGCTTCCTATGTGGCAAGACATGTGGATTAAATAATTTGTTTTATATATTTCCATGAAATACAGCGTGTACACTGGCCCACTATTAAAGATGAGTCACATGCTATTTGACCTAATTCCTTTCCTTTCCTCTTTGTTCACATTCTTCTTCGTGAAAATCCGTAGCACCAGAGTTGGTTCAATGGTTCATCTTCTTTATTCATTCATCTCCATCCTCCTTCAGCTCCATAACATAATGTCTTCTGCTTCAGTGAAATTGCAAGTTGGGAAGTTTTATGGATGTCATGTTCAGATGGTATCGTATTATTGCAAGAATGAACCAAATAAGGGTAGGTTATTTTGGAGATGTCCTTATTGGCAGAGTTCTGATACGTGTAATCTATTCATATGTGATGAAGATCTTGGCGTAAAATATGGAAATGAAGATGTTACCATTAGGAACTCAGAGTTGGAAGCCATGGCATCTGTGAGATATATGAAGTCCTTGTATGAAGATTCAGGAAAGAAGAACAAGAACTTGAAGACCAAATTGAAAAATGAGAAATTTCATGGAAGATTGAAGATGTTGTGTCTTGTTGTGTCATTTATGAATAATGTGTATTTTGTTATCAATTATAGTTGCTGAATTGTTTAACGTAATGAGAATGTATTGTGATTGTAGGTCTTGCTTCAATGTTCTTGATAAATGTACTTGATTGTAATTGCTGAATTGTTATCAATTGTAGGTGCTAAATTGTTATCAATATTGTTTGTTATGATTAAGTTGACATAATTTGCAATATTTGGTATAAAAAGCTTGTAATTTAACTATTAAGTGCATAACAAAGCACATACTGAGACATGAGTACAAAATACATACTGAGATATAAGTGCATAACAAAGCATATTACAAAGCACATATTGAGATATGAGTACAAAATACATAAAAGGTTCAAAGTACATAACAAAGCAGATTACAAAGTGCATAGCAAAATACAACATACATTTGTTTCATAGTACATAACAAAACACTAGGTTCATAAGATATAAGGTTCAACCAAAACACATTTGTGTCACTCTTGAGTTTTCACTGAGTCGTGCTCTTCTGGATGTCATCCCATTTCTTCTTTCCCCTAGCACTGCCAATAGTTGAGTCTTCTTCAGGTATTACAAATATATCATTTATCC